CCGCCCGTCGCGGGCCGCCTCGGCCGCGCCTCCGCCGCGCCCGGATTGGCCGGGGGTGACGTCACTGGAGGAGGCTCTGCCCCAGTGGGCGGGGCCGGGCTGGGCTGGGGCACGTGGCGGAGGGGAGGCCTTCGATGAGACCTGAAGTGCTGCACTGCTCTCAGCTACTTGAGGCCTTTCAATTTTTTTACCCTGGTGGGTCAGAAAAAGGACGAATCCCTTTCTAACTCCTATTATCTGGTCTGCTAACAAACGAGATGATTCTGATTCTCCGAGTGAATCAAATCTCGGGTGACATTCGTGCTCCTTTCCTTGAAGTATGTTATGAGAAGAAATCTAAATGTGTCACAGATGTGCTGATCGGCTGCTTCCCTAGACGCCCAGAGAGGAGTGTTTGAAATGCAGGCCCCGGATAGTAGCAGTACCAGGCGCTCGTTTCAGTAAAAGTCATGGATATGGTACCATGTCAACTTAGATCTCTACCTTCTGCTTTATGGGTAAGAATCGAATTGAGGATGATGTGTATGGCAGAAAACTGGAAGCTTTCCAAAGAGAAATGTCCCAGGACCTGCTCTCGCATTTGCTGAATTGATTATTTGCAGGCGTGGGTTCTTGGGGAAGCGGAGATGAATATATACAATATTAGGGCTGGTGCTATGAGAGAAGAACTAAACTTCAGGATTAGTTCATTTCTTAGAAGACTGGTGTCAGAGAGGGGAATAGAGTAACCTGCCTTTCAGTCAGCTACAACTTATCATTCAAATAAAAAGATATCAGTACTTGGGAGCAGACCATATAGACAGGCTGGATCGGAGACACGATGAAGGACTAATGAGAGGTGTCAGGCTGCCAGCCCTAGAGAATCACATCCGCTTTTGCACAGAACAAGGACGGACCGGGTAAGTTTGTCCTGCAAGCTTTGCCGGATGAAGTTAGAAGGTAGTTCAGGCTTTGTTACTGCAGTACGGCTGCCAGCTGAAGTGTTGCTTGAAATGAGGGCATCTGCTTACTGAAAACTGGACTGAGACTACTAAGCCGCAGACTGTACGCAAAGCTCCCCCAGTAAGTGTCAGTCAGTTGGGACTAAATTTGTTTTGGTGACCTAATGAGGAAGTACTCTACATCCAGTTACCAGTCCCTGAACTAAACAGCCCTCCCATTATTTTAGAAGTGTAAGCTGGCAGAGTTTTTGGTGACTGTCTGGAACAATCCCTGAAGGGTAGGCTTTTCCTCTCTGATGGTATTCGTCAGAGGTTTTAGAGCCAGACTCGTATTTTTTTGCAGGCATAAAAAACAGTAACAATACTCAACACTCGTGGTAACTTGGGGCTTTCTGTGAAGTTGCATTTCTAATTTTGGCCAATGGTTATTTCCAGAGTGTTAGAGGAAAAGACAGATGCCTGTGGGGTACAGTATTAACAGGACACAAAAAGGCAGCTTACAACTCTCAGCATGATGAAGAATACAGTCTTGGGACAAGTCTGAAACTGCCTCACCAGCCAACCCAAGACTTGGGATTTGTGACATGCCAAGGCCTGTTGGAGGACTACAGAATCTTACAATTGTGTGAATAATGATGACTGCAATGTGCTGCATTTGGTGACAGCAAGATGAGATGATCTTAGTGTGTGGGTGCAGCATGTGGTTGAGCATTGAAAACAGAGGGCAAACTTGAACTGCTGATATAAGCAAGTGCCATTCAAGTGATGTCACCCCTAAATTTGGCTCAGAGGCTGCTCCTTTTGCAATGTTCACCCTAACCCTTCTAAATGCTTTGTAGTAAGACTTGCAATGCTTGATTTTTTATTTTTTTTTATTTTTTTTTACTTCCTTCATATTCATCTTTATTCTTGTAATTTGAAATCGTACAAAGTTATATTTTTTCTTTGTAATTCTTAAATCTATTTACTTTGCCTAAGAAATGCCAGGTTGATGGCCCTAGAGAGAGAAATGTGGCCTGTGCTGTCCAAATAATGGAGCTGAGTTTCTGTAAGAAACAGATGGGAGGAGAGAACATTTATTTGGCACTGTACATGTACTGTACAGTGGGTGTTCGTTGCCAAACAGATAACAGGTCCCTTGACCAGATGAGCATTACGATCCTGCAGCACAATCAGGTACAACACAGAAAATAAAGAGAGAAGTCAACTGTAGAGTGAGAATGTCACAGAACAGGTGTGCTCTTGGTAAATGACTTACGTTTTGCAAATCTTCCTTTATTGAATTCAGATCCTGTATTAAATCTGCTTGCATGTTTATTTTGATAGTACTGTAATTTCAGCTATCCAGTAATTTCACTCAGCAAGCATTAGTCAGACACAGACATGTATTTTGAACAAATATTATTCTAATTTCTGGATCCACAATTATTGCCAGATTAGGATGCACATATATTCCATCTAATCTGTTCTTCTCTCTCAGACATTGGCAAGACCATTAATCTGTAAACAAGAGAAAATGAATTTGCTGATGTTGTTAACCGTGGTTAAGGCCCTATTCATCAGATGGAATAAAAATACACATACATGTATCAATGTGACATGCAGAGAGGGCTGGTTGTGAGGGAGGAGATCTAATAGTGATTGATATTTTTGGCCAAGTGTTACACTCAATGCTGAATACCACACTTGGCATCCAAGTTATGGAGTTTGTAACATTGGGTGTATTCAAGAAGCCTATAAATGTCTGTTCTCTTCCATTTTGCTAATGCTGGTCAGGCATGTACTTTGCCACAGAATATTAGATTATATCTACAGATTTCAACTAAAGAAAATGTATAATTTTAGGCAAGTTATTGATCCATGGAAATTTTTCTTGAAAAGATGCTATACATTTCTTACTCGGCTATATGCCATGAACTTCTTGCCTGTGATCTGCTACAAACTTCTTTATGCTTTAAACTTCTTACTCTATATGGCTAGAAACAAGAGAGCCTGTATGAGATGACCTCTGGAAACTATTTCAGTGCATATTGAACATTTTCCTTTCAAAGAGGTTACAAAGATGGAGCTGGGCTGTTCTCAGTGATGACAGATGACAGAACTAGGAGCAATGATCTCAGGTTGCAGCAAGGGAAATGTAGGTTGGATATTAGGAAAAGATGTCTAACGAGGAGGGTAGTAAAGCACTGCGACGGGTTACCCAAGAGGGTGGACTCTTGTCGATTGGACTCTCCATCCTTAGAGGTTTTTAAGACCCACACAGACAAAGGCTTGGCTCGGATGATGTGGTTAGGGATGGTCCTGCTTGGAGGAGGGGGCTGGACTAGACCTGCGGTCATTTTAATGATTCTATATAAAACAACATCTATTTTTTCTCCGGTTAAAAATAAACTAGAAGCTTTTACTAGGGGCCTAGGGCTATGTTATGTTGTTTAACATTGTAGCAAAAACAAATATAACTTAAATGGAAGTCTGAGAGGCTCCGAAGTCAGAGCCTAATTTAATTACCAGGAGCAGTAAATAGACAGCAGCATTTCAGGACAAACTGGTAGAACATCAAGACCATCCAAAGAAGAGAGGGTCCTTCTGCCCTAGCACAGTGTGTGTGTATTTATTCATTTATATACACACAGTATATCATATTGTATTGTGTGTGTTTGCGTATATATACACACCCCACACACATATATGGGGGGTGTATATATCTCTATGTGTGTGTGTATCTCTGAATGGTGTGTGCGTATATACCCCTACATGGTGTTATGTATGTGTGTATGTGTATCTCTACAGTGTGTATCTCTTTCTCTCTCTACACGATGTGTATATATATAGTGTGTGTGTGTGTATATATCTCTACACTGCATATATGGGTCTGTGTGTATCTATATATAGAGAGACGCACAGCGCGTGTGCAGCTGTCTCTATATGGTGTGTGTATATATGGTGTGTGTATGCCTGTACATGGTGCATATGTGTGTGCTTGTATGCGTATCTCTCTACATGATGTGTACGTGGCACGGGTGTACATACCTCTACACCGTGCATACATGTGTGCGTTTATACCGATGCACACTCAGCACGTGTGTACTGTATCTCTGTACATGGTGCGTGTGAGTGTATCTCTCTCTACCCGGTGCGTACACGTGTGTGTATATTTCTCTACACGGTGCGGACACGTATGCGTGTCCCTCTCTACACGGGGTGCGTGCAGGGACGCGCGCGCGCGGCACACCCACCCCCATAAGCCCGGCATGCCCGCCCACTCCCCTTCCCGCGGCGGCGGCGGCGGGCGGGAAATCCGCCGAGCTCTGCGGGCGGCCCCGCCCCTTCCCCCGCCCGGC